CTCTGAATCGCAAATATTCAATATGGACAGGAAGCACCGCTTGTAAATGCAGAAAAAGGGCCTGAGGTGTATTCTTGCCTACCGCGTCGGAGTTAATTGATCACCATGCCGTGAAATGCCGAGCGTGAACGAAAATCAATGCCCCCTTCATAAATTGCCTTTCCTTAAAGCACAACGTAGGCTCACAGATATCGCCGAACCAGTGAAACCAGTTTGAGCTGTTGTCGTCGCTTGCATCTGTCTCGCCCAATAGCTACGCAGTGAGAGCCAGGTCCCGCGTTCTCTTGCGCGGGCGCAGTTGGTATTTAGGCTATTCGTGTAGGTCCTGCCGTCGAACGTAGCTCGCCCGTCGCGAGTCTGCTTCTCCGTAGCACATCTGCAATCATATAAAATTGCATTGGATGCCACTATTGCGGAGCGTTTGCTAAGTCACCCTGTAGTCGCTGCTGCGTATTGCGCTGCACCTGTACTCCCTCACAAATTCACGCAGATCGTTTGCAGTGTCGGACTTTGTCTCGCAAACGCATAACGAAACGCCAAGATACGCCGCCCCAGTAAGTACTATAGAAGATCACCAAACAAAGGAAAGCCAGCTCCACGTCTTCTCACATTTCAGCTCCGTATATCTGCGCCCAGGCACATACAGGCTGAACCGTTATAGTGCCCAAGAGCACTCTGAGAAAATGAATATGCTTCGCCCACGGGAGACTTGCTATGAACTCTCTTAACTGTTGAGTGCCCCCATTCTCCGTGAATCCTTATTATGTGCATGATGTCTAGGAAAATTGGGGAATGATCGCAACGTCAGAGAAGCCTTCGCCACAGAGCGGGCGTGGAATCGAGCATGTTCAAGCCGTACGGCAAATATCACATCCGTGCAGACTGAAGGCCTGTCTACCGCTTGCCTCGGCTAACTATGTTGGTGCACTAAGCACCGTGGGATGATGACCTCGAACGCGCATCGGTTTCATCTTCATAAACTGTAGCTACTCCGGACCAAGGATAGCTTGAAGGACCTTGCCGAAACAGAAACCCTACCTGCGTTATGGGCGCCGCTCTCTTGCGTATTAGCTCACTGTGTTGCATCAGCAACACAGTGAGCTACAATTGCAGCGTCCTTTCCTGCAGGCGCTATCAGTATTTACACAGTTTGGGCTGGCCAAGCGGTCGGCACCGACTCGCCCTTCACTACTGCCGTACCCAGAAGAACAACTACCATCATACATAAGCGGAATGTGAATCAATACCACTAAGCGGTTAGCGAAAATCACCGCGGAGGCGCTGCAGTCTCCAACTAGGTATTGTACCCCCCTTGCACTTCCTTATATATCATTCGCTGAAATTATCTGCAATGTCATAATCTGTTTGATCAGCGCACTTCGCAGTGCCGAAACACCGCTCCCCACCGCAGAAACACCACGAGCCAGTGAGTGCCGCATACAATCACAGTCACAACAAAACAAGCTCCCACTTCTTCTCACACACCGACGCAAATGTGCACGCATGCACATGCACATCCATTTATGCTCTCATACATCCTGAAATGCAGCATTACCCACAAACGCGCCAAGAAGATGTATTGGCTTCGCGTGCTCCAGACGTGCCACAAGTTGTAGTGCTTTCTGAACCTCCGCATTTTAAGAATCCTGGTTTCTTGGTGTTTGCACACTTCCTGCCAAGACAGCGGACGATCGCCACGCGAGATAACCGTTTGTCACGCAGTTGCCGTACACGAGTGCAGACTGCTCAACTTTTCTCGGCGTTCATGGTGCCTGTCCTTCTTGCAATCACAGCGTATCAGTACATGTTTGTAAATATGAATGAGTATATAGATGGGAATAGCGTCTCGCATACGTACGTAGGCGCATGGACTGTATGCTCTTCTGAGCTAACGAACACCCACTTCAACATGCCCCTTTCAAGGGAAGGATATTACCAGCATAACCACAAATTGCCCCGTCCCACGCCCTGTGCAGCATAATTACCCACACCTGTCCACTCAACAGAGACAATCCGGACTATTAGAGCCAAACAAGAACCGCGTATCTGCAATGCTGGCCCTATTTTTCTTTGCGTTACTCAACAGCTGCACGATGGGTCATCGCGATCTTTTGCGCAACTAAGTACTGGCACGATTCGTCTTGGGGGCGCCGTCCCGCGCCGTCGCCCGCCGCCCGCCCTTCACGACTACCAATCGCCGGAGGACAGGCCTAATCATCATACACAACTTGCTGGTGATCAATAAGTCGGAACATTCGACACAAATCACCGCGTACACGCTGGCACGTCAAACCACGTGTCGCGACGCGCATACATTCCCTCACCGCTCCAATGATCTCGCTTGCAATGCCGGACTCTGTCTCGCCAGAAGACTCAAGAGCGACAAAACGTCCGGCTGCAGTAGATACCAAAGGTGAGCGCGGTTCAAGCAAGCCGGGCTCCAGCTTCTTATCGCTCTGCAACTCCATAAATCTGCATGCATGCACGCGCACATCCATCAGTGCCACCCGAATGCTGGAAACGCGAACCTACCCATACCCGTGACAAGCAATAGAATTTGGTATATATATGCCGTATGTCGTCTGCGTTCGCTTGCCATGCTCAGTCGCTGCACCGTGAACTGCAGGTTCTGCGCCTTTCTGCACAACCGCCATTAAAAGCCGCGGAGTTGGGTGTGGCCGCGCCGTCAGCTGTCGCCTGGGTTCCGCTTTCTTCGTTCCATGCAGAACAACTGCTGTACGTTGCTGAGCTGAGCCACAGTACCTTCACAGGTTCGATACAAATCATCGCATTGGTACTGCTGCTTCCTGTCAACAACGCGCAGCAGGTGCACTGCCTCGCCGACTCAGTGAGCTCGCTTGTGATGGCAGGCCCTTTCTCGCAAACGCCCGTCGCAGAGACGGACAATCCCGACGCGCAAAATCCCAAAGGGAGCACGGCTAACTCTAAAATAAATCCCCGTTTCGTCTCACAACGCAACTTCATATATATTTGCTGAATGCACATGCACATCCGTGCCTGCTTTCATACAGGCTGAAACGTAAACGAGTTCATAACTGCGCCAAACAGATGAATTTGGGCCGGATGCTCAAAATTTGGCACAGACTGTTCTAGCCACCGGACGGTTCGAATCTCTGCAACTCTGGCTGCTAACTATGTGCATACGCCCTGACGAGAACCAGTCACGATCGCAGCGCCAAAGCAGGGTTCGCAACAGCACGGTCGTAGACGTGCGCGCACAAACTGCACGACCCCTCAATACCTTCACCTGCGAGCCGACTAACTCTCTGCAAAAGCATAACGTGGTGAGGCAGGAACGTGCAGGTTCACATCAGGCTTGTTACAAAATACAGACGCAATGCAAGCTTGTTCTAAATCAGCTTGCAAGGGGAAAGGAAACAAGTCAAGCATCTGGCAAACACTCATTGAATACAACAAGTGGGGCACGAAAAGCGCAACGTATGCAGCAACAGCATTTGACCACCCCCTGAAGAACCCTAGATTGAAGACCGATAGTGAAAGGCCCTCCCAATATACACAATCCCAGTAAACCGGTATCCTCACCCTTCCCCGAAGCTCCGCTCGGTTCGCTCGTTCTTGGCAAGCGGGCTACCACCATAGAAACGTTGACCCATACTCAGTACATGAACCACTTCTGCACAACTCAATGCCGCTTCCCATCACATTCATGCGACAAATCACTCTCAAAAAACAATGTCACCGTGGGATTCTACAGAGCGCCATGGTCATTGGAATTGCATTGCAGCTGCAAATCGAAAACGCAGGGGGGCCCGCGCAAAGCGAATACACCAAAGCAAGTGTCAACTGCACCTACCTCAGTTCCTTCATCTCTAAAAACACGACAATCGTCCGGCATACGCATTTAATTTAGGTCCAGTACCGCGCACTTCAACACTTACGTGCGCTACCCCGCTCCAAAACAACTCTGCTTCTCGTGCATCAGCCGCGAAGCACACTAGCCCGGCTGATATCGTCACCGCAATTTTACGACGCGTTTTGCAAGTTCTACATACCATCTGTGCATGGCCAGCCAATCAACAAACACGCCACAAAAAGGTTTTATCGCGCAGATGATATAGAAACTGACACATGCGCATACAGCCTGCATACTTCCAAGACACCCATCGACACTCACAGCTCATGTTGCATTCACCTTACCCCCCATAAACAACAGTTGCATAACCGCGCGTTCAAAAGCTGTATACATGTATGCATATCTAGAGGTACAACGCGACGTTCCTGCCGTGGGACTAAACAAGTCAATGGCGAACGCCAACTGCATCACAGTGCAACTGGTTCCACGATGTACCTTCCCACGGCGGCTACCGTCCGGGAGGCCAACAAGCACAAGAATGCAGTTTCTTGCATGAAGTTTCATTTTCAATCGCTTCTTGTTGCAAGACCAGTGTTCACGAGAAACGATATAGACACACGCATGGACCAAGTTTCATTGTCTCGCGATTGGCCCTAATGATTGTGAAGATATTGTTGCAAAACCCTTGCCGTGAGAAAGCTAGCACGAAAGAAGGCCAGCGAGACATACGTAAAGTGCACCTACTCTCGGCAAAGAAAAACGCAACTATTCTCGCCGCACTAGGACCAGCCGTCAACGCAAAGGATTCCGCGTTCGTTTGTTATGCTCAGTAGTTGCAGCGTGAACTGCGGGCTCTGGGTTTCTGCACAACCGCCATTAATACTCACGCAGTTGGTTTTGCAACAACGCGCAGCAGGTGCACTGCCTCGCCGACTCAGTGAGATCGCTTGTGATGGCAGGCCCTTTCTTGCAAACGCCCGTCGCAGAGACGGACAATCCCGACGCGCCAATTCCCAAAGAGAGCACGGCTAACTCTAAAATAAATCCCATTTCGTTTCACAACGCAACTTCATATATATATATATATATATATATATATATATATATATATATATATATATATATATATATATATAT